AAGGTCGTTCATCCATACGATGCAGTCTGTTGGGACAATTTTGCCATAGGTTGCATCTGGACTGTTTTAGTTTCTTCCATACACTCACCATTGTGCATAATATATTAATTTATATCACACATAATACTAGAAAAATTAATTAATGTTTCCCAGGCAGCAGCCTAACTATTCCAGTTAATCATTACCTTCAAACTAAAAATAGTCTGAACTGTTTAGATATAGGCTTGACTTTGTATTATTTATTGGAAAAAAACCCTCAAAAACTACTTTCTAAAATTCTGCTCCTGAACCTGATAGAGGGTCACTGGGATGTTATCAGTGCCATCAGCAAGATTAATAGCATGAGTGAGAGAAGTGATTCAAATTCCTGAATGCTTTAGACAGTGCTGAGTATTTGAAACATCTGCACAGGGCTTGCAGCTACTGGACCTATGAGAGAACTGCACTCTTCTGGAGCAATAGCTGGAATGCAGGTGGGATATCCTCCTGATCTTTCCTCAGGCTTCTGGCTTTCACCTGATAAACACTGATAACATATTTCCGGTTACAAGGAGAAAAAAAGGAAATACGTATTTATGTGCAATTTTTTTGCATTTCACTTTCCATGTGAAATATATTTAATAACCTCAAAAACAAGTTAATTGTACTAATTTTTATGTATTATTAGTATAACACAGGCAATTTTAAATTTGTCCCAGATAGTGCTTTTATTCTTTGATGGATGTTCTATAAGTAGCAGAACTGCACAAACATGTGAGATGGAAAGTAATTCTCTAGCTGAATGTACTTTCTTTGGGAGGTTGGACTAGATGACCTCCAGAAATCCCTTCCAATGTAAATTAAGTGAGTCTATAAAATGTAGATGCAGATTTTACAAAATACCCTTGTGGCAAAGTCATACAACACAGTACCTTTCCTAATATGCTAGGCAAAGAATAACTGAATTCTGAAGATTATTACATTTGGTAAATAAAAACATCACATATCAGGCATTGGTTTTTAGTATATTTCATCTACAACAACAGGTTAAGTTACAAAGAGCAATTGTGCTATTGTTTTTTCAGTATTGTCAAAATAATTGAGAAGTAAAAAAAAAAAAAAGCAGAATGATTTAGCACATCAAATCATAATTGTCCATGTGTCATTTGCTAGACTGTGATAAAACTCTTCCACAGAAGAGTTTTCCTCAGAAACGGTGAAGCATGTGGATGGAACAAGACAGTATCCAACAGAGACATGTCACATTTTAAATCAGATTTAATCTGAATTTCATTGTACCTAGCAAATCTGTGTTTCTATAATGTGGTTTTTGAAGCAATACAATGACAGTCTCCTATATCATTGGTATGTGGCTGAAGCACAGACATACCAGGAGGTCTCTGAAGTAGAGAAAAAAAGTTGTCACTTCCCAAAGCACCTGTAGCCTGATTATTTACAAAATCAGTAACCTCCAGTTCTGCCTGATCACCTTTGTCAGTAAAAGCAGATGTCTGTGCTTTCCCCTATTTCTATGTTCTGTTTTTACATAAGGCCACGTTGTCTTGTTGCAACTACTAATCCACACATAAGCACATTTTTTTCTACATAAATATGAGAAGTTTTTTTGAAAAAATATGTATAAAAAATCAGTCATTATTCTGAGTAACCCACAGGAAAAAATTATTGTTTGTTCACTTATGGACAACGATTCAGGGATAGTAATAAATAGGTGTTAGACTATATATTTGGGGAAAAAAAATTCATTTTCAGGCCATTGCAAAATTGCAAATTTTGTTGCCGTTCCGTTTTGATTTAAAAAAAAAAATCATTTTCTGCCCAAATTCCTTTAAACTCATTGGGAATTTTAAGATTTGTTTTGCAAATGCAGAAAGAAATAGATATTAACTCTACTGAATTTGAGGCAGTCTCTATTTAATCATCCAGATTAAGTCTGTAGCTACCAGTTGCTAATAGAGACAAGCACCTCAGAACCCCAAAACATATCAAAAAACCCCTTCACCTCATGTACATCACACCTCTGTGAGGGAATACAACAAAATAACTTCCAGAGGTTCCCTCTCTCTCTCTTTTCCCATATTTAATTACTGAATTTTATTTTCCTATCACATTAATTGGACTAGCTGATAAGTAATTTTTTATTATTCAACAGGACTTTACTAACTACCTTGCCTTTCACAATTCTAAACTGTTAGCTCTATCTTATTGATTGAAAACACTGAACTTGAATGTAGAATGAAAAAAATACAGAACTCTTATACCAGTTTCTTCTCCATTACAGTCCCTCTTTTCATGATTTTAAATACCCTAGAGATATTTTTAGATAAAATAAGGGATTAAAGCAATTCTTCTTGTCAGTTTTATACCTTTAATATGTCTAGTTTTCTTATTTGAGGTTTCTATTTGTTTAAAGCTACCTAGCTGAAATGGAAGCCACCCACAGAATTTTTTCCATGAAAATTAGATATTTGCAATATAATACTTGTACTGTAGTTCCATTCCTCCATCATACACACTACATCTAGCTTCAGTGGTCTGAACAAGCAAAGGCATGCACATAATTAATTCCATGAGGGACAGCTTATTCATATATTTGCACACAAAACTCTCGTTCTTTGTATATCAGTTACACATAATTTACAATGACTATTTCTGCTAACTTGAGTACTCGGTGTAAATTAAATTCTAAATAAAGCTCCAAGTTTTCAGACATACTTTTGTTGTAGCTTGATCAAACATTTTCTTTTGTCCTACTTGCACATGAGTGCGTGCACACACACACACTGGAAATGGCTTTTTCTATTCTTCAGCTTGTGCTATGCAGTAAAATAGTTACAAAAATAGCAACATGGCAACAGTTGCTTGCACATGTGGATGTCATAAACATTTTGTGTTCCTTTACAGCCAAACTCAATCCAAAGCACTGTCGCAGCAGTGGGCCCACTCCAGGAGCCAGCATGGGAGAGGGGCTCTCAGGCACCAAGGTGATTTGCAAGTTGCAAGGGAGTTATACATACGGTGTGAATTAGCTGTAAATTAAAGGCACAAGTGTTTTCTTTATAAGTGACATGTATTTTGGAGGAATTTCTTCACAGAAAGGGTGATTAGACATTGGAATGGATTGCCCAGGGAGGTGGTGGAGTCTCAGTCCCTGAAGGTTTTTAAAGAAAGACAAAATGTGGCGCCTAGTGCTATGGTCTAGTGGGCATGGTGGGTTTTGGTCATAGGCTGGACTCAGTGATCTCAGAGGTCTCTTCCAACCTAATTAATTCTGTGATTCTGCAATATACATACATAGACATAGGATCTGTGCTTAAAAAATAAAGAAACCATAGGAATATAGTTTAAAAAAATTAAAGAAAGCAGGCACACTTTTTCTGGGTTGTGAGCAAATACGGTCCAGGAGACACCACAGAGGTATCAGAGGTCTCTTCCAGTTTCCCCTACCCACTGCCCAGCGGGGTCTCTCGCTGGCCCACCCAGGACCCCTCCCGAGTCCTGGCTCCCGGTCCCGACCCCTCGCTTGCCATCCAGCTCCTAACCTCGCACGAAGCCCTGTCCTGGTTCACGCCAGGCTGCGGCTCCTGTGTCAGTGTTACACCATTTCTACTGCATCCAGATCTGGGACCGTCAGTTCAGGCAGGACATTGAGGAGCACGTCCAGAGAAGGGCAGGTGAGGTGGGGGAGAGTCTGGAGCATAGGTCTTATGAGAAGTGGCTGAGGGAGCTGGGGGTGTTCAGCCTGGAGGAAAGAAGGCCCAGGGGAGACCTTATCACTCTACAATTCCCTGAAAGGCGGCTGCAGCCAGGTGGGGTCGGTCTCTTCTCCCAGGCAACCAGTGACAGGATCAGAGGACTGTGTCAAGCTGTGCCACAGGAAAACATAATTTCTTCACAAAAAGGGTCATTAGATCTCCGCACGCGGGGAGGTGGTGGAGTCACCGTCCCTGGAGATGTTTTGAGGAAACACTAGAAGTGGCACCCAGTGGCATGACCGAGTTGAGGCGATGGTGATGAGCCATAGGCTGTACTTGATGATCTCGGGGGTATTTTCTTAAAGCGATTCCGTGACTCTGGGGCCGTGCTGCGGCTCCCGGCCCCGCTCCAGCCGGGCCGGGCTCGGCTCAGCCCGCGCCTCGCGGCCCCGCCCCGCGGCCGCCCACAGCGCGGCCCCGGGATGGCGGCGGCCGCGGCCGGCGGGCAGGTGAGCGGGCGCGGCCGTGCTCTCCCCCCGGCCCGGCCCGGCCCGGCCCGGCCCGTTCCGGGGCACGGCGCGGCCCCGGCGGCCTGGGCTCGCCCTATCGCTCTGCTCGGCACCGCCACCGCCCCCCGGGGCGAGGCGCGCTCCGGCCTTCCCCGCCGGCCCCGGGGCGGCCGCGGGCGGCCCGGAGCCTCCCGGAGAGCCGGTGCAGCCCTTCCTGGCCTTCCCAGGCAGCGGCTGAGCAGCCCCGGGCCCCCTGGGGCCGGCAGGGACGGGCTCGGCGTGGGGAGAGGATGGCATGTCGCATAACGGAGCACTGGAAATACCGATCTTTGGGGCCGCGGCCCCGGGTTGGTGCTCTGTGCCGCGGGCGTGCCTTCCCCATTGTCGCTGCGCACTCGGCATCGCGGGCCCGCACGGCGGGGCCTGACACCCCACTTGGGCTGTCTCACTTCTGCTTTTCTCAGAGATCGCTTGGTGTGCCATGGGCAGATTTTGCACGTATAGTAACAAAACTATGGCCATTTATTTCGAGACCTTTGTCCTTCCCGACATGTGCAGTTGACAGCTGGCCGTGCGGGGTTCTGGGCAAAAGGCAGACACCCCTGCGTGTGTGCCTGGCTGCCTCTAGCCGCAGTGCCACAGGTCCCACACATTCGCAAGTTCTTTTGTGTAGGCTTAGTACACCCAGAACACGTTGGAGTGGTTGTGCAGCCAAGGCAGGCCACTCTCAACATGCCTATCATTGTTTCCAAGCCATTTTGTTCTTGTGAATTTTGTACTTTAAACAGTAGTGGTCATAATGATGTTGCGCAAAATAGCTCATGTATTAACCCAGAAAAACTGGGTTAAAACTGGTTTGTATCAGAAAAAATTTCTGATATGCATTTTAGTTTTTATTAACCACTAGTAAAAGAGATCCATAATTCTTATGTTAATGGGTTTTGTTGCTTTTGCAAGTTACGACGCATAAGTAATACACTCTGAAAATAAGAATTGTGTCTTCATTTTTCAATGTTAAATGTACAAGCAGAGTTTTCTAGATCCCTAGTTTTAAAAGGTCACATGCATAGTTTTAAAGTAAAGCTGCATAAAGTAAAGTTGCAACTGTAATGCAAAGTAAGCAGTTTCCTTGTTCATCACAAGTACTGGGTTAGCTGATCTGAGTGAGAAGCCAATTCTCCAGTTAACGTATGTTAGTTTCTCACTTCATGTCTACCAACTATGATTCTCCACAGGAAAAGAAAATTAGTGTAAGTGTAGCTTAATTAACAGACTATTTTTATCAATTTAAAATAAGAGACTGGAAATTTAATACTTCTTTGTCTCTCTTAGACTATGTCACAGTTTGCTGTAATAAGGTGCTGTGATACATGTATTTTGGTCTACATGTTACTTTAAACGCTGAGTTCACATATGTTACAATGTAATGAATCCATAGTGATGCAGCATATTATACTGACAAATGTACTGTGTACTGTATACTGTCAGGCAATAGAAAAACAGTGGAAGATTTGTGGCTATAAGAGCAATGTGGATGTCGTAGCACTGTATCTGGCTAGACAGTAAGTAAAATATTCCTTGTTTTGACTTTTACTAGGAGTATGCAGTAAATGGAAGTCTTTCACATTGCTTTCTCTATCAGGAACTCTCTGAAAATAGTTTATATGTGAAATACCAGTAAATCATATTCTTACAAAGTCCATACATGTGAATAAAGACATGGTAAAGGTATACAGACACACAGCAGCACTGTGCTCACAGCTAACAGCCTCATCCCTAGATACACAATCTGTCTCCAGCAACCCAGAGTTGCTTGAGAGTCTGTGAGTTCACGGAGTTGTACATGAATTTCTGCCATGAGGAGCAGAGGAATAAGAGCTGGTGGGCTGATCTCTGCCTGTTCTAACAGGCTCATAAGGCTGGGTGGAAGGAGTATCAAGAAGGCAAATGAAATAACATGGATCTGCCCAGTCTAGGAACTGCCAAATTTCTGAAGAAATGTGTTACTGCAATGGCAAAATTCAGTGGTACCACCTTTGAAATTACCTGCATCTGTACTGCTAAGAACTGAAGGGAGGGCAGGGCAACATGAATACAAGCACAAGAGTACATTTTGGACAAGCAGTACTGATGAGAGAGCTGATCTTTGAGAGCTTAATGAAACAGCTTGAGATGTAGGGCAGATGAGGAGAAGAAGATGTGCTAAGTTAAGGAAGGCAAACTTTCATGAACCTGTGGGTGATCTAGGTTGATAGAGGTGTATGTTGTATTATGAACATGCTGAGAGGCTGCCATAGAGGCATGGATACATGACAGGGCATACTTCAAAGTTTTGGGAAAGCGTGCTTTGAATTTCTGGCCAGGGCACAATTCCAAGGGTTGCATACCTGTCTGCAGCCTCACAATTGCATCCACTGCTCACATGGTTGGTAGCATATAGAAAAACTAATGTAGTTTAATCATTCAGGGACAAGGTTTTCAAGGTCTCTTGGTCCAGAGTGAAAAAAAAACCAAACCGTCTTAAGGGATTCCAGTGTTGTCTAGTTTGTTTTTAGTGGAAATTATATGATCTTGAAAATCTAAATGTGCTCACTTATATGTTTAAATTCTTTATCACATCTTGTGATTTACATCAAGCAAGTATTTGATGATTTGTGAGGTAAAACATACAGTTACTGTCAAATTTTTTTAAATGTGCATTTTAAAAAGAATAAAAAAGGGAAAATTTAAGGGAGAAGTTTCAATAATGAGAAAATTACAAGGTGCATATATACATACTTTCCAAACAATACAATTATTATACCACATATGTAAAGAATTAAGACTATGTATACAGTCTTAATTGTAGTATTTCTGTTTTTAAATGCTTAAATGTGTGCTCTCACTGGCTTTCAGGTATTTTTTTTGTTATAGAATATAAAGAAATGCTCACATGGCATAGTGTTCTGTCTTCCCATTAAAACATTTTGGTAAAGATCATAAAAGATGGATTCTTTCATGATTGGATAGAAGTGAACTCCTTTTATTCTGTATCAGTTTATATAAACTTGAGCCCCAGCCAAGCTCAGTATCAGATCATGCCTCCTTTAGTGTTGGCTTGGCATATTTTTCTGCTAGCTGAAATAAGAAAATAGAAAAAAATTAAAGTCAATCAAATAAGAGGGAATGAGTTTATATTTTTAAACCACTACTATTAAAGGGACATGAAGCAATGTATTTTGGACACTGAAAGCTGTCATCCCAGGAAAACTGATTAACTTAGCAGTAGGTAGAAAAAGAGTGCTGCAGGCCAAAAAGGATCAGTTTATAAAAGACATACAAAGTCTGGAAGGCATGTAGAAAAGGACAGGCTCTTTTAAAATGTTAGAGGAATTAAGCTCTACCTGGGGCAAATTAAATGCCTTAATATGAAAAAAAACCAACAAAAAACCCCCAAAAAAAACCTAAGCAAAAAACAAAGCAACAAACCAAAACCAAAAAACCAACAGCTTGAGGCTTGGAGATAATCAAAATGAGGCTGTTACTAGACAGGGAGTAAACCCAATTAAATGTAAAGCTGTAAACTAGTTAGAGAGTGGCAGTGACCAACAATATAAGAAATTTTGGCTTTGCTACCTGAAATGTAGTTCAGGGATGCACAGGAGAATTGGATAGGAGCTCTGTATGTCCTGTCAACAGCCATCTGCTTGTCCCTGCTACTTGCAGTAATGTCTTTTTCTGTTACTTGTGACTGTAGGTACATTAAGTATGTATTTGCAGGGTTAGTTTTTATGGCTTATCTGAGAAGCCAAAGAAACAGTTTAAAGTAGCATCATGAGAGGATAATCTGATTCTCAGTAATACAAGGGACTAAAAGTACAGTGCCTCAACTTTGTAGTGTTTGCTCTTGACAGACTTTTCATTTGCAAAAGTAAGATGAGAAAAGGCATCCACCCTCCCTTTGTCTGTACCTGGAGGGTGTGTTGGAAAAAAAACAACCCTACAAATAAAAAGACAACATGGAAAGATAGAGACCAGACTTCACAGTTGGAAAACAAACACTCCTTTAGCCTGATGATGTGAGCTTAGTTTTTATCAGTCCTGTTACTTTCTGAAACACTGGCCTTCATCTTGCAACACATTAAAATCCACAAGAAAATTTTTATTATGGCAATTAAAAATTGTCAGGTAAAAGTAATCTATAATTTTTCTAGTGGAAATTAAGAGCATTTATTTATAGCAATGAAAATAAAGAAGAGCAGTTAGTTAAAATTACTTGGCAGCTCACTAATATTTTCTGGTCAGCAGGTAATTTTTTATTTATGGTTCACTAGCAAGCTCAAAGTGCTAGATACACAATTAAACATAAAACCATACTAGCACATAATGGGAGATCGTTTCAGCCTCAGTGGATGTACTAAGTTTCTATGAGAATAGGGCAGGAGTGGAAAAAAGGCAAAAGTTCACAATATACACTATCATGAAAAATAATTTTAAAAAGCACATTGGCATGCTTGATGTCTGTCTTCTGCTGGCTACTCTGGCACTGTGCATGGACAATCCCCGCTGCATCTTCAAAGTAGTTTTGCTTTTAGCTTCATGTCCCCAGGGTGCCAAACTTCTCCTCCTGTGCTCTGAGCAGGATTTCTGCAAAGTGCAAAGTACATGTGACTCAGACTCATAACTCATGCTGTTATGGAAAGGCAATTGATGTATCACTTTTTTTGTTCTTGTTTCTTTACCACCTGCTGCCTTGTTATGTTTGCAGGTGTGCAGAGTGCTTACACTGTCTCTGCCACCTTCTCTTTTTGTCTTTCTCTTCCATAAATTCTAAGGAAGTGTGCCTTTCTAGTTCTTGTCTAATATTATTTATGGAAAATTAAAATATTTTTTCAAATTAGGAAGCACTATTAATGTTAAGAAATTTGTTACCCTTTTTTTTCTTCCACCAGAGGACTAAAAAGTATCCCAAGTCTATCACAGTTTCGCAGATTAAGGTATTTGTGGATTAACAACAATAAGGTAAAAAGATATTCCTTTAAAGAGCTGAACAATGCATCTGTACTCCATGATTATAAATTTGTGGTCTTTTCTAGCATAAAGTATTATATATATTGTCAAACTAAGAGATTATTTTTAATTTCTAGGCTAATTTAGCTGTCAAATATAACAGATATGATTTTTTTTTTTTACATTACAGAGTATAAGCTTATGTATTTTCCTTTAGAGTCATGTCAGATTTATAAATTTTGTTTGTTTAAGGAGCTGAGGTTTTGTGCTAATTCCTGAGCTCCCAGTGTGATAAGAGCAGGCAGTTCTTGGAACAGGCTGAGGGGTGGCATGGCTGTAGGACAGGAGTGGATTGCAGGAAATGCATGGCTCTTCTTGCAGACATGCATAGGTTATTTCCTGGTTGAGGTGACGCTCCTTTTTGATGTCATGCACACAAGAGTGGCATAAAGCTCTGTGAAATGAGCTTCTTCCTGTGTACAGGAAACAGCACTGCAGTTCTAGGGATTACAAGATATAACTATGTTACTGTACAGTGGTTTACATGACTTTCACAATGAGCCCAAATTTTTCCATCTCCAGAATTGCTTGCTCAGACAAATAAATAGATCTGTGAGCAGTAGAAAAAAATAAATTTTCATTCCATGTCCCTTCAGAGCACATGTATATCTGCTGCCCCAGGCAGTTATATGGCATCTTATGTCCAATTCTCTACTTTACTAACTATTTTTGAAAAAAGCAAATGTAGAGATATATTAAAATGTTAAACTAAAATCACAGGTATAATAGGGCTTTTCCTTGTATAGCTAAAGGACATTAAAAAGAAGTAATGACCTGATGACTAAGTTGATCTTGCTGATCAAAAAAGATAAATAAATTGGAGTTTTGCACAACTCTCACTTTCCTACCTAAGCAGTTACAATATTCTTTTGTTGTTCTATATAGCTTGTGTGGAGGAGTCACTCAGTGGCTTTTCACAGGAAAAGTCTTACTGAAATGCCTCAATAGGAGCAGCATATTTTTCTGCACTCAATAATTTTATCAGAGAAAGAAGCAAACTTCAGATTCTGAAAACAAAACTTGCCAAAAATAGGGAAAACCATTGTACAAGGGAGTGGGGAAATTCTGTCTTATGCTCTTGCTTCCACCTTTCAGGTACTGTTAATATACAGAGCAAAACACATTTATTTTGGAGTCAGTGGCAAAATTCAAGGACTGAAATAATTCCTTTCTAACAAATTACTTTTTGTCACAGAATTTACAGAGTCAGGAATTAAATTCTGTTTGTTGTTCTTGCATTTAAACTGTAGGATAAAAACTTTATCATCATTAGTACTCCCAGTTGTCAATTATGAAGGACAGCTTGCTATCCCACTGCAGATGCTTAACCTTGCACTGGATCCAAAAGTGTATTGGATTTGACTTCTGCAAACAAGAAAGTATGATTCCATAGGGACTAAAGATAACTCCTTATTGGGAATACACCCATACCTATACTGTTTTTGGTTTTTTTTCCTATAACTCCAATTGATTCTCTAAATATGATTAGATGACATTTCTGGTAAATAAGAGCAAATCTGTGCTCTTTGAACATGCTGGTGAAAAAACAATTTCAAAACAAGATGCTGAGTTTATTCAAACAATACATTTCAGGAATATTAAGTCAACATAGAATTATTACGCTCTACAAGGGTCTTCTAACAATAAAAATTATTTCAAATATGAATAGAAGGAAGAGAAAATGTGGAGACCAGTTAGTCAAAGAAATCTGTTTTCAAAAACAAATGTTAAATGTGTAGTTCAAAAAATTAGGTAAGGTTCTACTGCTTGTATTTTATTTGTACTTAGTACTTCTAATGAAGGTTCAGTTGTCAAGAGAATCCTTAAACCAAGAGTCTTAAACAGAAATATAAGAAACTACCTGTGGTTAAACAGTTTTCAAGGGTCCACGTTTATAATTCTCCAACACCACATTCAGAGTGACATATAACAGTTTGCCTAACTCTAATTTCAGATCAAAGATTTAACCTTCTTGATCAAAAACTATTACTTGACTGAACTCTATCTCAACAATAATGAGCTGACAGATATATCAGGTACCAGTTTTCCCTTTTTAAGTTGTTGAGCAGAGGCCTGTACTTTCTTTTTTCTGTATTGGCATTCAAATTTATAAAACTGCATTACAGCAAGTGACTTATTGGTTGAAAGATCCTATGTATGTATAATTAAAACATGTTAATTATTAGATATTTAATTTTTCCAACATACCTGAGTGACAATAAGATGATGTATTTATTCTGGTTTAAGGGATGAGAGGTCATTAGCTTTATTTATTTTGGGAAATATTATATATTTCACAAAACTATGTGAAATATTTTTGATCTCACATGATCATATTTAATAGTGAGAATTTATAACCAGAAGTATTTTCCAAAGTTACTGCCAAACTTGGTTTATTTTAAAAATGCATCTGTCTTATACTTCTATTTTGGTTTTGCTTGTCCTTGTAGATTAAAATGGCTTTACCAGACTTGTAAATTTGTGAATGAACAGGCCAAAGCTCAATACATTTCTAAATATTTTAGACATTTTAAATGTTAATATTTTTTTTCTGTTCCTATAAAATGCTGGATGAGAAATTATGTTGATTGGTTTCTGTGAGATCTCAAGGAAACTTTATCTTTGAAAGACATAAACAGGGACACAAGAGACAATAAAAATGATAAAATACAGATCAACAGAAGGTTATCATTAGTAGATAAATGTGGATAAAATACTGTATATAATTTGGAAAATGACATTTCTAATCTTGTTGTATAAGGATGTGGACACTTGATGTGAGTGGGTCAAAACTTGAGGATGTGGGTCAAAACAGTATTTTGTAATAGCTTTTTAATACATCAATAATTAATTGAAACAGAACTATTTTCTAAGGAATGCACTATTTACTACTTGTGAGACAAAGGTAGTATTAGGATATACTATTGTTTGTGAGGCAAAGGTAACATTAGGTCAAGGTAAAAAGAAGTGAATTAACCAAAGATTACAGGGATATAGGAGGAATGAAGGGAGGTAGAAGAGAGTTTGCAATTGAGACTGATTTGTTGATGCAAGGGTGATATGGACAAATGGAAAAAAATGGAATGAGAAAAAGATAGGCATGTGCTTAAAGGATGTGACTAGAAAGGTGAAAAGGATACTGAAATATCTTTAATTTATTTTTTAATTAACATATCATACAAAGTGTTAGCAAAGGGCAGGCATACATAGATAACTAAAAAACAAATTCAGTGTACATAATAATAAAATAATGTTCTAATAAAGGCAACTAGGGTGAGAATGATTAATTATTTTTCATTTTTTTCAGGTGCTCTGAAACACTTATGTTCATTACAGATTCTGTTTCTTCACAACAACGAGTTAAAAAAACTTGGCAAAACAGTGAAGGAGTTGAAAGGAATGATAAGCTTGCAGACTCTAAGTAATGCCTTATTTTTATTCTGCAGAACAGCAAGTAGTAGCTTTTTAGTTTCTTATCAGGATGTTTCTTGTCTATTTCCACATCATTTGCCAATAGCTTTTGAAGATAATTAGCAATTTCAGCCAAATTTGACAGAAGAAAGAGATCTCCAAGACATGAAAATTCCACAAAGAGTACCTCAACTGAGGAAAATCTGCTAAGAGAGTTCAGAAGTTAACTTTTTGGCTTCTGGCTGCCGGTAGCTTGGATGAATAGGTTGGAGGGCGTCTAAGCAGTTTACAGCTGCCTCTTTGTAATGGAACACAGGAGTAGGGTGAGATTAACATAGAGGTGAAAGGAGTTGGAAAATGTGTGTTACTGCTGTTGAGACGGTGAGTGATAGGTTATAGAGCCCGAATTCCTGCCTCATTAATTCTCTTTCTTATAGAACTTCCTTTCTGCATCTTTTTTGGCCGACTGGATTTCTATAGTCTAAGAATAAATGTACTTTAGGTATTATTCATAACAATGTCTGTTAAGGAGCATGCTTTCTGATACACTGGCTGAAAATGAAAATTGCACCATCTCTGAAATTTCAAATGAAGTTGTACAAGACAATGTTGGTGCCACTAAGTTACAACATTAGAAGTATCCTCCAGAAAAGGTAGGATTATATGCTATTAAGATATTGAAAGTGAAAATATAAGCAGTCTTTTTCCATGATTCCTAAAGGAATGTCAACACAGATCATCATAGATCATGCCAAATGCTTAGTACTTAGAGAATATGACAGTAAACAAGTTTTGTGCCTTTGTAACATGGTTAAGGAGGTGAATGTCAGAATGTCACCAGCCCGTAACACTTCCTTAAGCATTCAGAAAACTGAATGTGTGATTGTGGGAAAGGAAAATATGAATGAAAAATTAAACTTTTAATTGTTTTAATTGAACCAAAACTAAGAAAAACAAATCAAGTATTTAGGAAAACAACAGGCCAGCCAAACTATTGCAATTCTTGTCATTATATGCAAGATAGAAAAAGGTGTCCATTTAAGAATGCAGTTGTTTGAAGTGATTAGTCAGTGTCTGGAGAGACATCCTATGAATGAATGGTGCAGTCACTTGAATTTAATGTTAGCTATACAAATTAATAAGGAGCTTCAACAAGCACAGGAAGTTTGTTGTACTGGTTGCAACCATGTGTGGCAAGGACATAGCAGATAGTTAAAGTGCTGCTGAGTTATTATAAATGGCAGTTACAAAGGCATGGTGAAAATTGCATGCAAATTGGACCAGCCACCACCATAGAAAAGGAAGTCTTTGAAAGAACAATCAAACAATATATATAATATACTGATCTACCCTAATTAAAAAAAATTGTTGTTTAGTTCAAAGATTTGTACAAAAGTAAACAGTAATCAATGGAAGAAGCTTAACAACCTTAATAACCATAACTTTAAATCATTCCTTCTTGACCTTAGGAGTCATGAAAAAAACTGTCAATGTTTTTGCTTCAAGGGGATTTTGTAATAATGAATTCTCAAATTAACAGGTCTCTATTGGTTTAATAAAATGTCCTGTCACATTTGAAGTAAATTAAATCAGTAAATGAACAAAATAAAATTTAAAAGTCATAACCTATATATTGTGTTACTATATAATATATCTGCCTTCTTGCAATATTAATAAATATTAAATGGGTGCAGAATTTGCACTGTGTAGCTTTGCAAAGGGCTGTGCACATAACTCATTTTTATAAAACAAAACCAGTGAGACTTCTCACTGTTATGAGGTCTTTTTTATTGCCAATCTGATTAAAAAAAAAAATAAAGTCACTTGCTAGCCTTCAGTGGAGCTCCTGGATGCTTAAAAACATTTTTTTATTTTGTAGCTCTTGGGGACAATAGAACTATTAAAACACACTATTATTGTTTGCTTCAGGAGTAGCATCCAGCTGCCAAAATGTTGCATTTCTCTTCCTGAAGTCTCTCTTGTGATTTTAGCCACTGCCCTGCACTGGATATGTAACATAACAACCATCTTTCATCAGGTGTCTAGGGAAGACACTCAGCCTCAAAAGATTTACTGCTCATGCTGCCTACAACTGCAGCCTTTTGGGAGATCCAGAGTGTTTCTTTATGGGCTCACCTTGTGCTCACATCTCCCTTTTGGAATCAAGATTTTTGTTACATACTCTGTAAATTGCCTCAATTGATTTATTGTCCACAGCTGATAACATCCTGCTGCTAGACCTCAGAAAACTCTCTTGTTCACTAAGTTTCTGCCCCATGTGGCAGAGGCACACTGTTTTCCTACACTCTAAATAGAGAAAACAGACAAAACTGTGGAGGAGGAAAGCATTATCCTAATTTGTACAACTAAAATTGCATGACCTTGACAAGAAAGTAGATAGTTCAGCCAAAAATTGATCCCAGATGTTTTGTAACACAAAACCATCTTGATCTGTACAATGGTTGCATTTATTGTAAAAATGAGTAGTAGAAAAATGCACATTCTCTAAAACAAACCTACAAATCAGTGTTGTTGAGCAGGGACATGGTCCAAGCAGCATCCAGATTCACAAGTGTTTAATATGAGACCTGGTTTGTGCCTTGGAATAATCTCTCTTGAATCTTTATTCTATTCCTCTACCAAACAGTCCTGCTTTTCGAGATCTTTCTAAATAATTTTTCTCTTTGGAGTGCTGTAATATATTTTCTTGACTCAAGAACAGACTTATCAGATACATACATAATATTCTTTCTTATTAACACTTTCTAGGGAAAAAGTAATTCAGTTAAAATCAAACTTTCTTTTGCTGCCACCTTGTGGGTATCTTACTAATTTTAAGTACAGTAATTTTAAAAATTTGTTAATTAAAATAAAAAGCTCTCCTCTGAATACATTAACAGGTGTTTTCTGTGTAGGAGAGGACAAAGGCTCATTCCAGCCTTCTTGCATCTTCAAAATACTTGCTAAATCCCATCAAGCACTGAGCCCTCTCAGCAGTCCTGAAGA